CTGACCTCAGATGAACAGGGATACGGTTGAGGGTGAGGGAGGCACTTGGGAGGCTGTGAGGGCGGGCCCTTCTTCCTCCGTGAACAACCTCTGGCTGTCACTCTTGTCTTCTTGCCTGGAGAATCCTGTGGACAGAGGAGCCTGGGGGGCTGCTGTCCATGGGGTCGCACAGAGTCGGACACGACTGAAGCGACTGAGCAGCAGCTTGTCCCATCGCTGCAAACGGGCACGCGCGTGTGCACGTCGCTCACGCTGCAGAGGCTGTAGGAGCGCGCGTCTGGCTGAGCAGGGATCACGGGGAACACACCCTTGTCCCCGTGTAGAGAAGGTGGCAGGCGACAGTGGGGGACTCATGGTCAGGAGGTGTGCCCAGGAATTCCTGCTCCATCGTGTGAGCCAAATCCTGCAGGACCCCACGTGCGAGAGTTGCGGCCGCCTCACCCTCCACTTTGCCAGCTCACACCGGGCAAACTCAAACCTCATCCCTTTCAGACGATTCTGAGGTAGAAAACCAGACCTGACCCCTGACCCTGCCTGCATCCGCTTCCTGTGGCCCCACCCACAGGGAGGCCCTGGACGGACACGACTTCCGGTGCCTCTCGTGCTTCCTCCCCCGCCTCATCGCCAGACCCTTTGGGCTGAGGCAGAGCCTTCCGCCAGCGCGCGTGTGTGTGTGTGGCTGAGGCGACTGTGGGGGTCCCAGGGCGGCTGTTTGGGAGTGAGAACAGCTGGGGAGGAAGGGGCGCGAGGGGCCCCACGTGGGCGTGGGCGAGGGGGCACACGTGGGGGTGGGCTCCTAACGCCCTCTCCCCGCTGAAACTGCCTCCGGGGACCCTGCAGCCCGGCTGGCGTTTGTGGCTGAGGACATGCCGGGCTCGAGCGCCCTCCAGTGCCCGCCCCACTTCAGCCTGAGGGGAGTGCCCCTCAGCTCGGTGACCGCCGCCCAAGCCCACCACCTCAGGGAAGGACAGGTTTCCGGGTGGAAGTCTCCGACAGACTCATCGACTCTCGTTTCCACCTGGCGGGCAGGCCGGTTGCCAGTCTGTCCATCTGGACATGTTCCATTCCTTGCGTCAGAGGACACTGTGTACTTTGCAGCAAGAAATAGAGGAACAATTTATTGTTCACTGTACAATCCAATCCATGGTAATTATTTCAAGAAATATGAGTGAATAGGAAGGTTAGAGAGTAAAACTCTCACGCTTCATCGCTAAGGCTAGGACTTAATCAGCTTGGGGAGGAAAAGGAGGAAATGACGCTTTGCAGGTGAGAGACGTGATGGAGCATCTCTGACTGAGTCCCAGGTGCCCTTCCATGTGACCTGGGAAGACACATAACATGCTGACATGCTCTTGGAGGTTGGAAATGCCCTGGTCATGTACTTACATCTGCTGGAAAAAGTTTTCAAGGACCAAAGGAGAGAGACTGTTTACAAAGTGCTCTCCCATTATTAATGTTTCCTTAACTCTTCATGGGGTTCCCTGGTGGCTCAGAGAGTAAAGCATCTGCCTGTGATGCGGGAGACCCAGGTTCGATCCCTGGGTCGGGAAGATCCCCTGGAGAAGGAAATGGCAACCCACTCCAGTATTCTTGCTTGGAGAATCCCATGGACAGAGGAGCCTGTTGGGCTGTAGTCCACAAGGTCACAAAGAGTCGGACACGACTGAGCGACTCCACACACTACACTTTCACGGGGTAGCCACGTCTTGAGGCTGCAGCTCACTCAGTGAGGAATAACGTGATGCGTGTGCTTCTCCTGCTCGTCAAACTGAATAGCCTAATGAACTACACCTTCCATTATATTATCATCCCTGTAATTTTTTTCTAGAAAAAAATAAAATGTACTAGATAGAAAATAAGGTATGCAGATGACACCACCCTTATGGCAGAAAGCAAAGAACTAAAGAGCCTCTTGATGAAAGTGAAAGAGGAGAGTGAAAAAGTTGGCTTAAACTCAACATTTAGAAAATGAAGATCATGGCATCAGGTCCCATCACTTCATGGCAAATAGATGGGGAAACAATGGAAACAATGAGTGTCTTTATTTTCTGGGCTCCAAAATCACTGCAGGTGGTGACTGCAGCCAAATTTCTTCCTTGGAAGAAAACTTATGACCAACTTAGATAGCATATTAAAAAGCAGAGACATTATTTTGCCAACAAAGGTCCATCTAGTCAAAGCTCTGGTTTTTCCAGTAGTCATGTATGGATGTGAGAATAGGACCATAAAGAAAGCTGAGCACTGAAGAATTGATGCTTTTGAACTGTGGTGTTGGAGAAGACTCTTCAGAGTCCTTTGGAGATCCAACCAGTCCATCCTAAAGGAAATTAGTCCTGAATATTCATTGGAAGGACTGATGCTGAAGCTGAAACTCCAATACTTTAGCCACCTGATGTGAAGAGCCAACTCACTGGAAAATATCCTGATGCTGGGAAAGATTGAAGGCAGGAGAAGGGGATAACAGGGGATGGTTGGATGGCACCACCGACGTAATGGACATGAGTTCGAGAGAGCTCTGGGAGTTGGTGATGGACAGGGAGGCCTGACATGTTGCAGTCTATGGGGTCTCAAAGAGCTGGACATGACTGAGCGACAGATCTGAACTGAACTGAACTGAGAAAATAAGATAATTCTATGAATATAATATCTCGGATTGTAGTTATCTTTGTATTTTCTGTCTTAAAAAAGGATACACATGTGCACACCCACATGCACAGAGATGCACACAGACAGCTGGGAGGGCAAGAACCTATGTGAACCCCAGGGCTGTGGGCCGAGAGCAGCCAGGCCCTGCGCAGCTCCTGCAGGTGCCTTGAGATGGGGTCTCCTCGGGCTCACAGCCAGTACTTGGCCTGGACAAATGACCTTCAGGGAGATTATGATGTAAAGAGGACACAAAATATCCAGAGGCCCAGGGCAGTGGCGGTGGCCCTGGGGACAGGCAAGGGAGCCTGCAGTTCGTCCTTCCCTGACCGTGAGGACCAGTCCTGCCCTCCCCTGATGGGCAGAACATCCTTCCAACACCCCAGCCCCTTTGTGTGTGAAGCAGAGACCTAAATAGCAGCACAGATGAAAGCAAACCACAAACAGCCCTGTCTTCATGGCTTCCTTCCTGCTGCTTCTGAACCCGCTGCACTGCCGCGTGCTGGTCGGATAAAAAAGGTTTCCGCGGGGCCGGATTTAAATAGAAAGGTTAGGGAGACTGTTGCACAGCTTCAAAATGAAAAGAGTAGAAGATGATATAGAAAAGGCAGAGGGCACCTAATTATGTATATTTATATTGCCAGAAAGGTAGACATGAAATGGAGACTTGGGTATAAACTTAAAAAAAAGTTAGGTACATATATAGATGCTATTTGCATGCATGCGTGTGTGCTTAGTCACTCAATCGTGTCCTACTCTGCGACACCAAGGACTATACAGCCTGCCAGGCTCCTGTGCCCGTGAGATTTTACAGGCCAAGAATACTGGAATGGGCTGCCATTTCCTTCTCCATGGGATTTTCCTGACCCAGGGATCAAACCCATGTCTCCTACGTCTCCCGAATTGGCAGGCAGATTCTTTACCACTGAGTCACCTGGGAATCCCTAGATAAATAGATACTGTTTATTACAACATAAATATAATAGTATGTAAATATTTATATATTCTTATTGTGTAAATATTTATATATTCACATACGAGTATTTATATATTCTAAGTATATAAAATCTAATATAAAGTTTTCATAAATTTGCATTAATTGCATAAATTTGGCTTAAAACTGACAGTAATTTAGTAGTGTTGAAATAAGATGCACAGAGATGGCTATGCAAAGATTTTTATAAAATGGTCACTTCAAAAAATGAATCGTTGTCCAGAGGACTTCTGTCCTTTCTGTCTAGAAAATAAGGAAACTTAAATGTCTGTCCAGTCCCACCCAGCCAGTGACAACCTGGAGTATTTTCAGGCTTATTTTCTTATGTTGACCAAAGGGTCATTTGCACCATGAGGTCAGACTTGGCAATGCCCGAATCTGGTTCTAATGAGCACGGCCTGAGTTACACAGACGCTCTGCTACTAAATAAGGACATTCAAAGCGTGTTTTATATTTTTTCAAGTAATTTTTATGATGCATTATGCAGTCTGGCTTAGAGATTAGGGTATCTTCTTCCTTTAAACATCAAGGGAACGGCTGCGATGGATGTTAGAGTCAGAATGAAATGCCTTCCTCGTCATGCATGCCCGAGGTGGAGAGGGACTGGCAGCGATGTCCGAGTACCAGGAGTGGGTGGCGTGGACGCAGCCCCGCCCTCCTGGGGCCACCTCTCTGGGCTGGTGAGAGGGACCAGCCAGCCTGCTGTGTGCGTGCTGCACCTGCTCACCCACCCCTTCAGGCACGTGTGACCACAGAGCTAGATGGGCGAAAAGGCATGTCCATAGGGGCTGTGGGCTGTCCCTGTGTCCTGACCAGGCGCGGCCCTCCCAGGAACTGTCCTTGGGATTCAGGAATAAAAGTACCGCTGGCATGAACAAGCACGTCTGACAGTAAACCTGCCCCATTGTTCCCGTGTTTTCTCTGATTTTCCTCCTGCATTTGTCCTAGATTAATCAGTGAGCTGACACCCATTGAAACAGCAACTGTATTATACACATGATTGCTTGATAGTGGTGCTTCTGCAACAAAACTCCAGACGCAGCCCAGTGTGACCTTAAACGTCCCCCAAGGCTGCCTGCTCTAAATATAAGGCTCTTAGTCACTGTGATACGTGGAGCAGGAACGGATGGATCTATGCTGTTTGTTATCTCCCCTCTGAAGCCATCACAGCCTCGTGATGGCTCCACGATGGATGGTCTCCCTCAGCAATGAGACTCGGCCACAACTGGGTACCGCAGTGATTAGCATTCAAAACCCATCGGGAGCTGCAGCTGAACTCCAGCTGCTAGCAGCCTTGAAAAGATCCAGGGCTTGCAAATCTCTCAGACAGAGGCATTTTGGAGATGAACATTCCATGACCAAATCACGTTCGCTGTACACTTGCCTCCTGATGATAATGAAGCCCACAATCAGGCAGTCGTTGCAGCCTGGAGGCTTTCAGGTCTGCACCAGGGTCAGCAGCTGTCAGAGCCGCGGCAGGACTCAGGCTGCGGCCCTGAACAGCGCACAGTGGCACCTGCGAGCTGGCGATGGCCCTGGGCAGGTACGCGGGGGGAGCGGAGTGGGGCGCCGGCCTGTCAGCGGTGCCCCAGGCAGGGTCTGGCCTTGTGGAGTCTGAAGGTGAATGAGCCACAGGAACATCCAGCTAACTCTGCTTGGGTACATGTCCTTTTCAGTGGAAGCCACTGATTCTGCCAAGAAAATTTCAGCTGTGGCCTGACAGTGACTCCCAAGGACACTGGGTTCTCTCTGCCCCAGAGGACTGGAGCGGCAGGTTTGTGGCTCACAGGCTGACAGCCTGCAGACAGGCTGCTGACTCTTCCGAGAGCAGGAATGGTGGCCGCTGGATGCCGGCATCGCAACAGGACAGCTGGGGCACACGGCAGGCTGCTCCGTCCACCTGGGACCCCTCACCAGACAGCACATTGCTGCCACTTGAGACGCCGGCCCATCTGCCACCCTGTCTCCTGGCCACCAGAAGCCATTCCAGCTTTGAATTTTAACAACTCTGCTTTTCATTTCCCCCTCAAGAAAGAAACACAGACATCACAAACGTCAGACCCCAGCTGGATCTGTCATTTTAAGAGCCAGATAGAGAATTCAGTCAGAAGAAGCTGCAAGGGGTCACTGAGGAGAGAGCTCCCCTCTGACCCGAGGGGACACAGGGTCCCCCTCCTACACCCCGCAGGGGCTCGAGCAGAGTGGCAGAAATGTGCAGTAATGATTTCTTCACTAAAGGCACAAAGAAGAGGCCTGAGTACCGCGGTGATTCACGTGGCTCCCAAATGAGACCGCTGGAGCAGTCAGGGCCCTGCGGAGCTGGAGAGAGGGCAGGGCTGCCCGCCTCCCCGTCTGTCCTCTGCGACGCCCTGGGTGCTGGAAACCCCAGGAGGACGTGTCCCGAGGCCGCACCCTAGGTGCCTCACCGAAGGGTCACTGCTGCCCTGGGTGGCTTCCTGGCGGCACCCAGGTCACTCAAGGAGCAACAGATGGTGTGCCCGTCATTCACAGACTGCCCAGGAAACCTGTCCTCTCCTCAGTCCAGTCAGTTCCAGCAGCTGGGACCAGCCTCGCTCTCCCACCAGGATCTGATGTGTCCCTTGGCCTGGTGACCGGCGGGGCGGGGAGGGGGGACTTGGGTCCACAGATGACCTCCCTGGCTTTGTACCCTGCGAGTTTCCCCTCCCTCCCTTCCTGTCCCTTCCTCCCTCCCTCCCTCCTGCTCTCTCACCCCTTCCGGGAAACAAGTGATTGTGTCCTGATTATATCCTTGAGTGGAGCAAGTTATCAACATATGAAAAGCACAGAGTTACCCCTGAGATACTGCAGGGGTGAAGCGGGCATGAGGAAGATGTTCTTAGGGACAGGAGGTGCCGCTCGGACGCACACAGCCCGGGAGGACGTCGCTGCTGAGGCTCACGTGTCCTTGCACACTGCTGAGCACGCGGTGGATGCCAGAGCCCGAGGCGCCGGAGCCAAGCGGCTTGGACAGGCCGAACCCCGAGCCCCTCAGAGCCTCGCCGGTCGGACAGGTTCCCCCATCCCCTTACAGGAAGCGGCAGACCCCAGGGAAGAGGGCGACCCTGCGTCAGCCCAGTGAGCGGCTCTGAGCAGCTCGTCCGCCTTCAGCAGCCCCGTGGGGAAGCAGGAGAGCACGCAGCCAGCCTGGCAGGATGCTGAGCTGCGGGTGAGGGGCTGAGACTTGAGCCCCGCCACGCTGCAGACCCGCTGTGTCCACATCCGCAGCATGGCTCACCTGTGCGCACTGTCCCTAAGGTCACCGAGGGTTCACAGTGCTCCCACTGCGCACCCAGGCCTCCCTGACCCAGCTCGCACAACTGCCTACTGTCTTCACCCCCACCTCTGCACCGTCCACACCTTATAATAACCGGAGTTCACGTCTGCCACCTGCTTCTCCTTCCCACCCCGTGGCCCTCCACCCACCCTGCCCCTAGGGGAGGCAGAGACTGAGGGGGTGAGGCAGGGGGAGCCGAGGTCTGAGGCCCAAGTTATCCCTAGGAAGATGCGAGGCTGGAATGTGAGGAGTCCCCGAGGGCTCGCTTCTCCAGGCCTGGGTCATCCCTCCAGGAAGCAGAGGAGACCTTCAGATAAGAGATGGGCTGGCCTGTCACATTGCTGGTAACTGAGGTTTCAGCTCAACTTTTGGACATATTTTGGACTAAATTTGGACAAATTTGGACAACTTTTGGACTAAAGCAAATAGAGCCATTCTTAACACTAGTAACTGAAATCTAATTCAGATTTTAGGTGTCCATCTACTGCATACACTTGGTGATACAGGAAAGTAAGTCAATGTTTACCTACCTAATGTTGGAGAAGACTCTTGCAAGTCCCTTGGACTGCAAGGAGATCAAACCAGCCCATCCTAAAGGAATTCAATCCTGAATATTCATTGGAAGGACTGATGCTGAAGCTGAAGCTGAAGCTCCAATACTTAGGCCACCTGATGTGAAGAACTGACTCTTTGGAAAAGACACTGATGCTGGGAAAGATTGAAGGTGGGAGGAGAAGGGAACGACAGAGGATGAGATGGTTGGGTGGCATCACCAACTCAATGGACATGAGTTTGAGCAAGCTCTGGGAGTTGGCAATGGACAGGGAAGCCTGATGGGCAACAGTCCATGGGGTCGCGGAATTGGACACAACTGAGCGACTGAACTGAACTGAAGTCAATGTTTCACTTAGAAAGCTCAGCTTGTTTCATCCATCTCATTAGAACTGATTCAAATGAATTCTTTTTAATGGCTGAGTAATATTCCATGGTGTATATGTACTGGAGCCCATTATACAGAGTGAAGTAAGCCAGAAAGATAAAGACCATTACAGTATACTAACACACATATATGGAATTTAGCAAGATGGTAATGATAACCCTATATGCAAAACAGAAAAAGAGACACAGATGTATAGAACAGACTTGTGGACTCTGGGAGAAGGCGAGGGTGGGATGTTTCAAGAGAACAGCATTGAAACATGTATATTATCTAGGGTGAAACAGATCACCAGCCCAGGTTGGATGCATGAGACAAGTGCTCGGGCCTGGTGCACTGGGAAGACTCAGAGGGATCGGGTGGAGAGGGAGGTGGGAGGGCGGATCGGGATGGAGAATACATGTAAATCCATGGCTGATTCATGTCAATGTATGACAAAAACCACTACAATATTGTAAAGTAATTAGCCTCTAACTAATAAAAATTAAAAAAAAGAAAGCTCAGCTTGGAGGTGAAGTCGGTGAATCCTCTCTTTCTCTGACCTGCTAACTTTGGCTTCTTCTTCAAAAGAGCCTCAGAACTACCCCCCCCCCCCTGCCCCCGCGGCTTTGGTACAAGTGAATTTTTTCTTAAGAATTACATCCTAGATGATGCTCATTTGTTTTGAACATTAACAACATCCAAATATCTGTTTCATCCCAACACCTGGAGTTCCCTATATTATCCGACTGGTTTAACAGTTTCAGTCTTATTTTTCTTCAAAGATGCAAAATACACAACCAAGCTTCCAATGTGAGAAATGTGCCCACGGGAAGTAAGGAAGTAGGGGGAGAGGAAGGAAGGCAAGAAGGTAGGGACGGAGGGAGGGAGGGAGGATGCACAGGAAATCTCGCTAAAATGTGACCAGTGATTCTGCATGCACTTTGATGGGAGGCCCATTAAGATGAATTTAAAAAATGTAAATTGGATTTGGAAGTCAGAACTCAGTGACATTAATGAGTTCGGCTGAAGCTGGAGGAGGTTCAGGAAGTCTGTTGAAGACTGAAGGCAAAGTTAAGACCTGAAACCACCTTTTGATGAGGTTTGAATGAGAAAGCAAAGTAGACTCACTATGCGCCGGCACCTGGGGGTCAGGTGGCGACCAGGTGGAAGGAGCGGCCCACAGGAGAACACACAGATGAACCAAAGGGCTGAGGAAAGGGCTGCTGTGGGCGGGAGGGCGTGGTGAGAGAGGGAGCGGGGAGGGGGGCAGAGCAAAAGAGGAGAAGGCCTGGGATCGGCTGTGAGGGGGCTGCAGCCAAGAGGGTCTGGAGGACTTCTCGACTGTCCAAGTTCAGTTTTATAACTTTCAGTGGAGGCATCGCAGCTTAGCAGACGTTGCAGTGTGAGGACCACGCTTTGCTTTCTACATGCGCGTTTAGACTCGAAGGGCTTAATCTCACTTAGACTGTGAAGGAAGAAGAAACCTTCCCAAGTGTTTGGTTCCTTAGCCCCGGGGCTTGAAACCCACTCAACACCTGTTGACTGAGCCACTCTGCCTAAATAATACTTACACTAATTAAGATTTATTAACTCAATAGCTTAGGAAAATTTAAAGTAACACACTCTGGCACTTGAAATTAATGATGCATCGATTGATTACTTAAAGAATGAAATACTATAGTCAGATTCATAAGTCGTCGCTTAGGATGACTTTCTTCAAGAAGTATTGGGTTGGATTTTTATAATTGGTAAAAGTAAAAAAAGTTCATCTGCATTATAATCACCCATGTCAAAAGTACCCAAGGAAAGTCACTTTCCTCCTGAAAGTGGCTTAATGTCACTGTTGGATGTTCAAATGAATGGGACTTATTTTCCACAAGGGTACAGTCTCTGTACTTCAGGATACTTAGATAGGACCCCAAGGTCCTTCTGGAGTCCTATGTTTAAGATAAGCAGTGTGTGATAATAATCACACTGGCCTGCCGCCGTCTGTCCCAGGCCAGGATTTGGACCCAGATCTGTCTGACTCCAGAACCCTCGGTCTTTCCGGGGCAACATGCGGTCTTCCGTCTCCAAGCCTTCTCTCTCACCGAGTACTGTGCTGGGGACGCTGGAGAAGCCTGTCGGTGACCTACGGCCTCACCTGTCCGGCTGCTGGCACCTCAGGGAGCTGTCTGGACCCATTTTCTCTGCTAACAAAGGTCCCAAGCCACTCGATTTTCCACTTCTGATGTCAACTTTGTACAGCTTTATTTTCTGTCACTATCATTGCTCACTTCTGGCAGTGGACGCTGGTTTCCAGAATCTGGTTGTTCAAAACCTTGTTCCATCACTTACTACCTATGTGACTTCATCTTTCAAAGCTTCACTTGTTTACACATAAAAGGGAGATGGCACCATCTCCAGACCCTCAATAGTGATCAAAAGGAGATGATAATATTGCTGGACCCTCAATAGTGATCAAGTGAGAATAAACATCAACTCACTTAACAGGTATCTGGAGCAGAGAAGACAGATAGATAGATTTCAAAATATTGTTATTTCAAATATGTTGCTCCTTATCACAAAATGGATTTCTAAACTGCACATAAAACCTGTAAATATCATTTTTAAAACTTGGAATAAGCAGGCTGGAAAGCTCTCCTAAGAGGATATTTTTGAGTTATAATTCAGCTATAATTTCTGAATTATAGCTCATGGATTCAGGACATCTATTTGGTTGTATGGGGCCTGCATGTATCTCAGGGCCTCTGTGTTTTCAATTGCAACCTGGAAAGAAAAGCATGTTCTCAGCAGCTAACAGGCAAGGGGAGGAGGCAGAAATTAGTTATTCATCTCGAGGTCAGGGTGGCTACCACCTAGATCCTTAAACGTCAAGGTAGCACAAAGTACGGATTCACCAGACAGAAATCTGGGTTCCTGGAAAGGTGGTCTTCTGGTGTTCCAGAGCACCCCAAGAAAGGAATCATGCTTTGACCAGAAAAAAAGGAGTCTACTCCCAAATATCTACATCAGTTCAGTTTAGTTCAGTTCAGTCACTCAGTCGTGTCTGACTCTTTGCGACCCCATGAATCCCAGCACGTCAGGCCTCCCTGTCCATCACCAACTCCCGAGTTTACTCATGAGTTTACTCAAACTCATGTCCATCGAGTCGGTGATGCCATCCAGCCATCTCATCCTCTGTAAGCACATGGAAAATGACTGAGAATTACATGTTTTTATATAAAATGCTTTCAAAAAATTCAGACTATTCAATTCTCATGAGCAAGTGTGAAAAGTGTCTAATTTAAAAATTAAAAGAAGATTAGGGATTTATTGCAGTTTATTTTGATTCATTGAAGCCATTAAAGTGTTCTGATCCCTCCCCAAAGAGCATGAGGCTGGTTTTCATCCTCTGACGTTGGTCTTTCACTTAGCAAAGGTAGGGGCAGAGGAGGTGCTGTGGGGTCAGAGCCAGCTTCTGGGCCGTGGGGCAGCCTGACGGCACATGAGGGACTCCATTCAAGGCAGAGTGGATGGTCCTGGGGGGACTAAGATGCTGTGGGTGGCCCCTGTTGAGACAGGAAGTCAGCTAAAGGATCTTCGGGGAGACAAGGAAAAGCAAGCATATTCTAATTGAACTTTGTCAGGGTTTCTAGTGAAAACAAAACTATTTTTCTTTGCTGCTCATTTCTATCCATTTATATCAAGTCCATCTTGGGCCATAGAATTTTGATCATGGTAAATTGGTTTGGCAAAATATGTGTTCTGCTAAAATGCTGATTAAGTAACTGCTCCATTTAGATATTATGGCTACTCAGTCATTCAGAAACATGGAATTTGAAGACATTT